CTGAAAGTTTAAAACAGAGTTGAGTCATGAAATTGTAGCAGGAAATTCAATTCTGTTCCCAGAGGATGCTCTCCTGGAGCTGTGGGTGTATCACTGGGGTGCTCCAAAGCCATGTTTCCTCATGTGTAATTGTCATCTGGAGTCTGTAATTGTCAACAATCCATCAATGATTGTTATGCAAAAGCAATAATTTTGATTGGAGAGAATTATTGTTTACCTTAAAGAGGAGAGTACCCCATTCATAAAGATATTTTCTACAGGGCTGGCAAAAGCTTATTCTGTGATAAGCTTATCACTGATGTGCAGGATTTACAAAAAAAATTACCATGGGCCTTTGATTTGGAAGATGCAACACAGGCAAGCAAGCAAGCAAACCCAGAAGAGAAAGTACACTCCTACACGCATGTAAAAATATGCTGACACATACACACATGTTCCGGACCACAAAATATTTTCTTCTTCAAGGGGGAGGTTTTCCCAACAGTGACTTCTTAATAGCAAATGAGAGGACTGCAAAGAAGCTATTTGGCTTGGGACAGGGCTGTCTCGATCCTGTCTGGATTTCTGTTACACTTGCATGCTTATGTTTTGGCTCCAGGGCAATAACAAGTGTAGTGAGTGTAGGAGAACGTATTGCTCAAGCAGTACACTTAACAAAACAACCAGGACTTGAATTGTTATTAATGGCAAGCCTAGAAGTAGCTAACTCCAACACACCTCCTGTACAAAGTCCACGGCTGGACAGGGCTGCAGCATAAGTGTGAAGGCGGCTTTAAAGATTTCTCTCCACAGTCACCCTTTGTTCATTGCTTCCATTGTCTCCCAGAGTTACAACGAGGTATCTCTCTCAATCTACAAGGCATGCACACAGGGACTAATTATGGGGGAAACCCACCAGCAGCAGCCATGGCCCCCTTGGCTCCTGCTGGGCACTATTTAGAATCAACGAGCATGGCTCTAGAGTGGGGGCTGGAAGTGTGTCCTTCATGCTGATTCAGCGGCACAGCGATGCCACGTGATGATGCCTGAAGCCGCATCAGAGCTAAGGGCCACGGCTCCAGTTGCAGTGCTGAAACTGTCAACAGCAATAAAATCTTGTGCGTAAAAGTTAGGTACCCAGTGGCATCCAGAAATATAAATATCTCTGTCTAAATATGTAAGCATAAACATATATCTGACTTACATTGATCTCAAGCCTTGCCTTCTTTTTTCCTTTGCAATCCTTTGACCCTGGTATTGCCACACAAGGCCCAATCCTGCAGCATCTGCCAGGACCCATATTAGGATCCAGGCAGTCAGGTGCTAAAGAGTCCAAGCAACAGCAAGGGTGCTGTCCAGAGACAGGCCAGGCCAGGCCAGGCAAGACCAGGCCCAATGTTCTTGCAATAGATTTTTAGGCTGAACTTTCAACTACCTGCCGTGGGGCAGTGTAGAAAGGCCAGGCGCGATAAAAGAAAAAGGAGTACCCCATACAGGTGGTGTTGTTTGTTCTCCAAACAAATACACCAAAATCTATAGGAAATGAAATGGCATTAGTATAATAAAGCCTACAAACATCAAGTGCAATCTCAAATCAGATTCAAAGTTTGTTCCCAGGGTGCCAGAGCAAATTATGAGAAGAGACTGAAGGATGTGGGTGCACCATCAGAGGAACTGTGCTGCTGTGGTCAGGAACTCATCACAGCTTATTCATGATATTTGTGAAAACGTAAAATGACTGCAAGGACCATGGATGTATTATTATACACGCAGTGCCTTTTTTAGGCGTATGATCTTGCTCTCTGATACTGAAGAACTCTGGAAGTAAAGCCCGGTCTAGTCCAAATACAGTTGGACAGATAGCAAATCAATGTGAAATACATGTGCACCATCATGCACACATTCACACAGAGAAATGTGAAAAATCCTTCCAAATGAAAAACCAGTGGAAAAGAGAGAAGAGTAAAAGAGAAAAGAAAGAATAAGCATTTGTCTCAGATGAGCTTACACATTTGGGGATAAGAAGCTGAAGCGCGGTGTTGACTTTATGCACAAAAGGGGAGAAGCACATTCTTCCGAATGCCTGCCATGGGCTGTCTGTAATATGAGCTTGACATGCAGCCCGCTGCTGGACTGGCACAGTAGCTTGCTGAATCCACACACCTGTTTCTGCCAATATACCAGACAAGTAGAGAGCATTTCTCATCATTATCACAGTGCTCCTGGCCATGAACCACAGGTTGCTCCTGCTCAAGAAAATGGGAGCCACTCTGGTTTTCTATTCACCGTAACTTTAAGGGCAATTAATCTTGTTACACCAAGGACCTTTTAAATGACCTGAAAACTAAGAAGAAAATAGAGAAGAACCCAAAGTAAGAATGAGTCACTGCGAGCCAAACTACACTCCTATAACAGTCCCCTGACAGTTAATTTTGTTTTACTTCCAAACTAGTGCTTGATATTATGAGAGGAGAAGTGCAGATACGAGTATGTATCTATTCCTCTGTTTTCCTCTGGCTACTTTTTTCCCTCAAAATCCCCTCCTCCTCACAGGGGAAAAGTCATTTCTACTCACAGGGAGAAAGTTATGGATACTTTATTCCTTGAGAGTGGAAATGCATGTAGCGAGACTGATTTGGAACAGCAAAATGTGGAAAATGTTGAGCACTCCTTCTCCCCATTCAAACTCACTGGGAGAGGGATATGTCTATAAACCATGTGCCATACAGTATAGTCCCAGGCAGAAGCATATCGGTGTAGAACAGGAGTGAGCAACTTGTGGTCCTTCAGATGTGCTGGCCTACAATTCCCATCAGCCCTACTCAGCATAGCCAATGGTGAGGGATGATGAAGGTTGTAGGCCAAAACCTCTGGAAGGCTGCAATTTGTCCAGCCCTGGCATAACAAATATGAAGGGAAGATAAGGTGTAAAATGAGCTCAACTTCATTTACTGAGAGACAAAACAAGACTGTTTGATAATGAGGAATGGGGTGGGTGGGACAGGGCTGAGGAAAAGATGTATTGGGCCCACTGCACAACTTATAGCTGGTGACTTATGATTTGTGAATTTAAAGGATCTACTGATTCAGCACCGATTCTGCTTTTCCTCTTGACAAAGGAGGGAATCTGTAATAAGGCATCTAGCATTGAGGAGAGAATCAAAGAAGGTGGTTTTATCTAGGATAACAGAAGAGTATGTCAAAGAATATTTGGTCAACCTGACTGAAGTCAGCAGGGCTTGCTGATGGTCACGCAGGGATCACAAGGGAGCCAGCTGGTTAGTCTCTATGTAAGAACTCAAACAGGGGTAGCAAGGGCCTAGAAGACTGGCCCAGACACACTCAGAAACACATGGGAGGATGAATTGCAGACATGCACACCTGAGTTTAGTAGCTCGGATCTAGACAAATCCTGGAACAGGTGATCAGATTTGCAAATATCCAAACCGAGGCTACAGAATCCCTGGCCTGCAGGACAGATCTGTCCTATGTGGCCTTCCAGCTTCCGCAAAGCCTGCCTCCTCTTCTCAGGCCCTGCCCCTCCTGATTATAGAGGAAAGTAGTTGGCAGAGGAATATTGCTGACACCAACTTTTTCAGGTGCCTTTTATTTCCAAATGTAGGGATGGAATAGCTCCCTTCTACCCAGGGCTGGTGCATCCGCAGTACTGTGTTTAACCTGGGCAATGCATTTCAGAAAGACACTGTTGGAGCAGGTACAATCTCACAATCAAACAAAAATCCACAATTTATCTTTTACTTATTTATAAGAGATGGTTGTAAGTAAAAGTACAGGTCAAGAAGGCAGATTAATTTTTTATCCTACAGCAGGGATGTTTAACCTCTTTCAGCTCAAGGACTGAGTAATTCTTGGAGGCCACATTTCAGTGGTGGGTGGTGTAAAGCACAGAATATCAGCATATTTTAGCTTAAGGCTGCTATCTTGAGTATACTTATTAAAGAATAAGTCTCTTACATCTTTGGAAAATTTACTTCTAAGAAAGCAGACAGGATTGCACTGTAAACTCATACAAGCACTAACTAAACCTTAGCAAAGATGTTGCAACCTTTCAGAAGTAGGAAAAACTGCCTCCAGAAAAGTCAGCGACTCACCAAATGATCCCTGGATGAAGGAACAGTGGTGGGCCAAGAAAGGGAGCATGGCCTCATGGGTATCCCAGATTTGGCTGACCTGCGGAAGGCTACTAAAAGTGCCCTGGAATTAATACTGAAATTCTGCATTTGTCTTCTGCAGCCAAGACCCAGTGAACTGTGAACACACACAAGCAGAGCTTCTCCAAATTTCCTTCCCACTGAAATTGTTTGCAGTGTTGAAGACACAAGCTGCTTTCCAGGGCAGTCAGAAAACAAAATGAGAAGCAGACAGCTTCCTCAGGTCATGGTAGAAAACAAGCTGCTATGGTGATTCTGCACCCTCCTCCTTTAATTTCCAAAGGGCCTTATCCAAAAGTCTGCAGGAGTGGTTGCCTCAGCCACAGAAGAACCACTGCTTTAAATATGGGGCATCCTACTTTATGGGCAAGGGAGCACTGTTTTGCCGAGTAGAGTTCTGCCAGTTTAAAACATGGGAAGAATGAAATGCTAGTATTTCTTGCTGAAAAATGGTTTTGCCTCAGTTTGGCAAAACTCTCTGCATTTGCTATGAACATTCGCCCACCAGACGAGGTGTGGTCTGTATAACACACAGTGCAAACTTCAGCCCTGAAGGAGCCGCATGTGAAGGAAATGTGCCCTCCCGATTTTCTCGGGGTTTCCTCATTCGAGTGGGCGAGTTATGCCCCCGAGGAGCGAAAGATGTTGCAGGAAGCAGCGAAGAGGAACATTATTCCCATGGAAAGCAGATGAAGAGTGGAGAGGACACAGGAGCAGGGCGATTGCCTGCCCGCCCGCCCGCCTCTGGTTTCGCATATTAGGCAGCACCCAGTGCTTTTGGCTGGCAGCCCAGGCAGGGCTTTTGTAATCAAAACATGATCTTGTATGCTGTGCAGCCAGTACTGAGAGAGGCCGACGGATGGCTCTCCTCTTTTAGCTCTGCTGTGGAATCCGCCTCGCCTCACCTCTGATGTCCAAAATGCACCGACCTGTGAGTGCCGCCTTAGCGTTAACCGGGAGGGATCTTGCGGGGGGGGGGGGGGGTCCTGGCTTTCAGAAAGCCAAGGCACGATCTCTTTCTTTTCCTTTTTCAATTGCATTGCCGTGTTGGGCTGTTTTCTTTCCCGCCAGCAGATACGCAGCTGAAAGATGCATGGAAGGAAGGGCAGAAAGGTGCATTCATGCCACAGATCGTGATGCTGCTCTTATGCAGGAGAGCAAGTGAGCTCCCACCAAGAGGGGGAGGAGGAATTCTGCGCGCGCGCGGGGGGGGGGGTGAATTTACAGAAATGAAACAGCTTGCTGCATAATGATGGACATTTCCCGCCCCAGCACTGGGAGCCGGCAGCAGCAGCTGTGTCTCTCAAGGCAAAAACTGAGGGGGTTTATTCGAGAGCTTGTGCACCGGCTGACGGAGCAAAACGTTCGGCTGAGCCCCTGGCCTTTTCTCCGTTTCCCATCCCCCAGGTTTTCTTTCTCTCGGGGACCTTGCCTCTCCCTCAGTCTTTCATATCAGAAATAGCTGGCTTTGAAAGCATGCGAGGAAAGCCTGTGGCCAGGGCCAGTTCTGAGAAAAATGCACCAGGAGTGGCAGTGGGTGTCTGAACTCGAAGGGGGCGGCTATACCATGACAAAATAAAAATCTCGGTGAAGCTTCAATGCACTACCCCCTGCTTTGCTTAACTCCCTCCCACTAACAGAAGAAGATATCTCTGTATCTCCCCTCCTCCTCCCGCCCTGGCCTCCGCTTCTTTCCGAGCACCCAGGCATGATTTCTACTTCACAGCCTCGGCACGTTTCTGCGGCTAAGCCGTTTATAACTCCCCTGCAGTGGTCACTGTGGCCTACGGGTGCCTGACTCCGCGGAAGCGCTTTCTGCTGGAGAGGGCGAAGGGGTGTCACTTTCCACCCAAAGGGGCTGCAGAGTCCGCATTCTTTCCAGTTGCTTGGCAGCAGCAACCTTTTCTCGTCCTGCAGTGCAGCAGCAGCTGGGCAGGGAAACGCTGACCAGGCTTCAGTGGGCTGCCAGTGTTCCCCAGTCAACCGGTGTCAGACCACAAAGTGCTGTTTTGCACTTCTGGGTGATTCAGTTGAGGTTTTGTTCTTCAGGCCGCCTTTGTTGCCAGTGCATGTGTGGGCAGGAGGGAGGGAGGGAATCTCCTGCAGTTCCATTTTTGGACCCAAGCATTTCAACTAACAAAAACAGGTGGAACCTGCAACAAAAATGTGGCAGTAAAACCTCACCCTCTAATGGGAATGTTCCTGTACACAGTTCCAGCCAGCAAAACATGCCTTCCTCCAGGATACTATAAGCCAAGTGAGACACATCATTCTCCCCTCTCCACTCCCCACAACCTTCCAGTTTTCTTTCCTAACAAATCCTCAATATTTCAGTCCTCTTGGGGGTCACTGCAACATGCGCAGTTATTATCAATCTTTGGAGAATTATATAGTTAAATAAATAACTGTATTTTATTTTATTTATCTTAATAAACTATCATTTATTTTGTGCTTTTGCATATCTTGGGACTCACCTTCCTCTTGTTTCTCAGTTGTCTGGATTTAGCTCCAATACTGTTTGCTAAGGGCACCAAACTGACAGTTAAGGGGAGGAGTATCTGCCCCTTAGATATTTGCTAGGATGGAAGACTTGGGAAAGCTTTCACCAATCTGAGTTCAGGTGCATTGGACCAAAGTTCCTATCATTCCGAGCCAATATAGCCGGTGATAGGGTATTTTCCCATCAACATTTTTAGAGGGAAAGCTGATTTAGGGGACACACCAATTAGGAAGTAAGAGAACAATATTATGTTTCTTAAACAGGAATGGAACAGCAAAAGAAACTCCTAGCTTGACTGAAATATGACTAAATCTAGTGATGTCTAGTGGATAAGAGAGCACTCCTGGGCATGTTTAGACAGAAAAAAGCTCTTTAACTCACAGCATGCTCAGGTAGCCATGCTGGAAATTGTAGTCCCTTTCCTGTATGAACATGAATCAGCTTGACTTTAAGTCATATAATGATACTATCCACACATCTCCTCTGTGTTCCTTCAACAATGAAGTCAGTAGTCTTGAAATATTTGGTAAGTCAAGTAATCAGTCACTCATCTCTGAATGTCAAGGGCTTAAAAAACCCCTCAAGTGGAATGAATGGCATGTTGAATAGCAGAGATAGTGGCCCATGAGGCTGGATCCCTGAGTCTTTCATTTGGAGCCTCAAATCTCTGAGAAGCCATCCTGCTGTCCCTAGACACTTTCTGAAATAAAGGTAAAGGGCCCTTGACTATGATCTCTGTTGCACACCACCTCCCTGGTTAGCTGGCTTTTTGACCATGCGTGTTACTTTCTGCTGCCACCCCAAATCTTTCTGTCTCGGTTTTTTCCCCATGAAATCATATGCCCTCTTTTTTTCTCACCATGCATCCTTTTTTAATAGGGTTGTCCTTTGCAGGGTGCTTTGTAGAAACACATGTTCTTGGTTTCATGCCCACATGCACGACACACAGGCTTTAGAGCATATGAAGTTAGCATATGGGAGTTTTTACATTTGTGCTTTTCTCTTTATTGTCCTGTGGGCCTGAGTCCAGGTAGTCCCTGGCACCAACCTTGCCAAATAGTAATATTGCTTTTAGTCTTATACAGTGGCTTCTGTTCTTGGTGATGGCACTGTCTCAGGAATAGGAGAAAGGGCCAGAGTGTTGTATTTTTTCCTTGTGCATTAGCAGGAACCTGTTGTGTCTTTTCTCCATCAAGACATGACTCTAAACATGGTAGTTCTTGTTCTGAATTGTGCAAGTGTAAGATATGCTTATAATGTCTTTTACCTTGTTAACTGTATGGGTTGGCCCACTTTGGAATGCAGTTGTTCTCTAGATTTGGTAGGGGAATCCTGATTCGTCTTCCCACTTGTGATTCTGCTGGGGTTTCTGTAGTAGCTGTCAGCAGAAGAAGAAGATGCTGTTTCTGACACCTCACTCAAGGCCTGAGGCAGTGGAAGTGCACAGCAGGGAAAGGGCCAGTATTAGGGGAAGGCTGCACTCTGGCCGAACATTGGCAGGTAGAATCACAGCTCCAAATGCAAAGTGGCCTTCTCTCTGCTGCTCAGCTGCTGTGTGCCACACCTGAGCAGTGGCAAAGAAAGGGCTGCCATGTGGCTTTCCCAGTCAAGGCGGCAGCCACATTTTGTTATGGTCTTCCATTGAGGAGCCATGTATTGGGATGTTGTCCTTGGAGATGATGACCCTTTTTACATTTCTGCAGAGCTTTGTCATCATCCCTTGGCAAGTTCTTGCTTGTACCTGTGATTCCAAATAGTAAGCCCTGAAAACAAAATGTTTTAAAGGCTGTGATAAATGTAGTTAATGCAGTAATACGCATTGGCAAAGTTATTTCCTAGAAACTGAAACCATAAAGCATCAAAACATTCTTTTCAGCTTCCTTTCCTCCTTGTGATATAATGAAATCGGAATTCTGCAGAGTGTTGATGCATGAGTTCATCAAACAATATGCAGAGGACCATCTTTGTAGAGACGGTATGTTCAAACATTATCTCTATGTCTCCTAGCAATTTGGATAACGTGAATACTATTACTAGACATGCTGGTCAGCCATGGGCAGCCCCTCGATGTGTCATGGGGGAATCTTGGAACAACTGCTCATGACTGACAAAATGCAAATTGCAAAAGGCAGCTGGACAGCTGCTTTTTGTGATCTCTGGAAAAAAAGAAAAACAAATTATTACAAAAGCCACAGCAATCCAAAAAGCGATCGTGGCAGCAGGGAGGTGGGGAAAGAGCCATTCCTCCTAAGGTGTCCCCTAGAGGACCAAAGGTGTGGAGGGGCCATCAACCCCTAATGTTCTCTGTTGTCGCTTGGGCACATTGTGGGCTTTGGCAATTCACCCACACTGTGTGGACTGTCTTGTCATCTAAACCAGCCCATTCAACAACTCCCAACATCTCCAGCCAGTGTGGCTGATTCTGGCTGCTACCAGGTTGGAAAAGGATGCTGCAGTGAGTCAAGGTAGACCAATGACTCAAAGTAAGGCAGCTTCCTACATTCCTAAGGAGTGCTGTTCTATGAGATTATGCAATCTGTCCAGACTTGATATGACTTTCTGAGGCTATGTAATCCACCCAAAGGCACTTTATTATGAGATGAATTCAAAACAAACAAATTTTAATTACTACTCTGCGCTGATTCAGATATTTCTTACTCTTATGGAATGTCACTTGGCCACATCATATTTTTGTAATATGCATAATTAAGGAGTGTATTTCGGAATGTGTATTGCTCTGTTTCCATTCTGCACTTGTATGTTCTTTACTCCTAGCTTCCCTGCTAATTATGGATGGATGGAGCTCAGCCACATCAAGAATGCATGCAAATCAATAAGGACTGAACATTTGGTCAGACAGAATTGAAATCTAATTTAAACCAATTCTGCAAAACTGTCATGGAAGTCTACTAATTTGCAAGTGTCAGTAACTCACTTATATTGCCAGGATGATTCATTATAATAAAAGAGTCCAACATTTAGTCTCCTGAAGGAAAAAAATATTCCTCCTAACAAAAATATACATATTAGGTTTAAACTACCCCCCCCACTCAGGAGCCAGGCCTATGACTTAAGAGACCAGTGTATTTGCAGGAATGCCTGGGGGTGTGTGAGGGGGCAGATACTGGGGCAGTTATTTGCTCCAGGGGCTTGCAGAATCAATCTCCTACACATGCCATTGCCACCTGCCTGGCTTCTGTCACACTACTCCCCAGAGCCCCCCAAATGCATAGGACTTTTGGGAGATCGGAGGCAGGTCTACCAGCCTCACTTCTGTCTCAGATACCATAACTGCCCTGGGAACCTGGCACTTACCCCAGTTTTTTCCATCCTAAGATTTCTCAGGCTTCCAGCTCAGGTTTCCTGCTTCCTGCTGTAACTATGGGAAAAGGTGGTCTTAGTGAAGAACCAAAGTTACAGGTGCATTCTTAGCATGTGGCCATCCTGTGCTTCTTCCTTTCCTGGACCTGCATGTGGTTTCCAGATCAGTGGCCAGTCTGCTCCGTTCTTGCCAGGAGCTCACTGTGTTTAGGTTTCTGCAGACCTATTTTCTTCTTGGCCCCTTCATTCTGCACTACTGAGCCTGCCGTTCATCTTTCATCTCTCTCAACTGCCTCTCCCTGTTCAGCACTGATGTCTCCCCTTCTGTCCCTTTTCCTGCCAGAATGTGGAGCTACACGTTTGGCTCCCATGTATTGATAATTCACTTCCCCAAATCCACTGGCTTTGTGAACAGCCCATGTCACTACCTTGATGCACGAAAATTCACCCCCAAGGATAAATGCTTAGTGCATTAAACACAGATCGTTTTTAGCAGTCGTATCTCATGCCTAGATGCTGACATGTAGGCACCTCCTGAAGCTGTAGTGTATTATAAGAACATTCATCTGTCTATAGAAAATTCCAATTCTATAGGTGAAACATGTCTTAATTGCCAGTGTATAGTTTCTAAAAGGAGTGCAGGATGGTCCTTTAATTGCAGAGACATTGCACCCAAAATGTTTGAGGTACAAATTACATATGATTCATCCACTGAAAAGAGATAGTATAAGAAAGAGAAAAAGAAATTTTCACTCTGTTTTCTGCTTCAGAATATACTAGGCCATATTAGAAACATCCACATTCACAGGAGAATATTTAGCATCAGATGCGCCTGTCGACACAGCTTTCAGAATCTGTATTTAACACTCATTATTTGACTCAGAAAATGGTGACTTCCAGCAGCATCCAGTAGGGGCTTTGATTCTCAGCAATTCTGTTATTTTTGCCAATTCCCTTCCATAAACAGCACCCACTGCTTGTGGAATGGAGATTTAACATTTTCTGGAACACCTGGAAATGAGCAAAAATGCTAATTTCTGGCATGGAGCATGCTAGCATAAGGGAATTCTGCTGACCTATCTCAGTCTAGACATAGGAGTTTCTGTTCATTTCTGATCTTCCCTACGAAGTGTGCAATATCTGTTATAAAAATGCAACTGAATTGGAAGGATCCATTGATTGGGCAACATAAGTATTGGAACACAACAGAATTATTGGTGCATGGAGATAAGTACTCCCTTGGATACTGCCCTTATCCTGAAATCCACAGGACAAAATCCACAACCAGTTCTGAAGCAACAAAAAGTGCTGGAAAATTTTCTTGGATACTTCATTTGTTCAGGAATAAATGAATGAAAAATGAAATCTAATTTTGCCTTCAAAATCCAACATTAAATTCAAAAGTCACATTTCAGTGAAATTGCCCAGTATAACATCCTATTAATGGCAACCTGAAAAAAACTGTCTCTTCTCAAAACACCTCAAATTATCCTGAGTTGGTCCCTTCCCTCTGGCTCCAAAATGCAAGACAATCCTTTGAAAATGCAGTTCTTTTACTGAGATTCCACATATAAGTTTGAGCTCTAAGTAGCCTTCTACCAAAGCTGAAATAAGAAGCCTCTGCACATGTCAAGAGTTGGATCCAGATGAGAAACTTTCCCGGCTCCACCTCAGCCTGGCTATTGCTGCTTGAAGGCAAGATGATGGGAATGGCGTAGCCCCTCCAGTTGAGCAGCCCGACACGCCCCCACTGGGTCAAGGCCTGGCTCTTATACCTGCCCCCCTCCCCCTGAAAACCCTCCCCTCCCCAAACAGCCTGTGGAACTTCATGAGGCACCGTTGAAAGAGCCTCCAAGCTTGCTCCCCCCACTTCTCCTCCTCTTTGGAATCTTCCGGTGACTTGCACCAGACAGAGTCTGCAGTGTGCAAGAGGCTGGCCCATCTGCTGCAAAATCCTCACAAAAGCTAGATAATATTATTGCTTTTTAATTTTATTTAAATTATATTATAATTACTTTTATTTATATAGGGCTGGCCTAAGACATTTTGCTCCCTGAGGTGAATGGCAACATAACGCCTGCTCCCACCCCTGGCTTTCGTGTACAGGCATGAGCTGGATTCAGAACTGGGAATGAGGCAGAACTTTCCATGGCACACAAAGAGAGTGGGCTAGCAGAAGGGTGGGGCAAGCTGTGGGGCGCAGCTCTGCCCCACACTGAGGGGGATATCAATTGACTCAGGAGGCATGGCTGTTGCAGAGACTCCTGCTGCCCCAGCCTGAGGTGGCTGCCTCTCTGTAGGGGTGGCACTGCATTTCCTCATACAGTGCTTAGTCAAACTAGGAGCAACACCACAGGCAGTTCTTGTCATATTCTCAATATTTTACATTAAATCTATGGTTTGGAGAGGCAGTGTGGTGTAGTGGTTAAGAGGGTAGGACTGGGTCTTAGGCAGTCTGGGTCCTTGTTCTGGTTACAAAAGCAGTATAGTAACCAACCCTTCATTAGCCCCTCATTTCAAACTTAATCACTGATTTTTTACTTTCATATTCTCTTTTTTGAAAGTTACCAGACAGCAAATCATTGATGAATGTTCCATTTGGATGCCAGGAAGCACTTCCCCGAGGGTATGGAATGGGCTTCCACGAGAGGTCGTTGAGGCCCCATCGGTGCGGATGTTCAAGGATAGGCTGGACGTCCACATGGTGGGCATGTCATGAGCGGAGCCGGCTGGTGCCGGAGGTCAGACTAGATGGTCTGGGAGGCCCCTTCTGACTCGCTCTGTTTCTATGTTTCTATGAAAATCTACCACACAATATGTTGTAGATTTGTATCACATTCTGCAACTCATTTTAAACTCAAAGTATTTTTAATGTCATTGTCCATATCAGAATATCGGATTGGGTCTTGCTTGTTTTTTATATTAGTATACATTTATCAATGCGTAATTTTCTTTTCAGCTTTTAATTAAAACACTATTTTATTGTGACAAATGTGGATGCTGGGCACCTATCTTCTGCATCTGAAGAACACAATATATAGTAATTTGTTATTAGCATGGGTGAGATACGGCTGCTGAACTTCCCTCCCCCTTGCCTCTGTTAAAACCAAGAGGATAAACAGACCTGTGAAGCATTGGCCATATCTAGATATCTACTAAAGCGCTTTCCTTTGTAATATTAGGATGCCACTGTGGATGATGCAGTGCTGCGGAAAAAAGAACAAAAAGATGTTGAACTGGATAAGAAAATCACAGCTTTGCGGAAAAAGAATGAAGCCCTTATGAGAAGATACCAGGTATGTTTGGTTGTATCTTCTTGGTGGTTCTCCTTAGTACAACTTCAGACAATTTTCTTGGTCAAACTTTGAAGCCTGGGGAGATGGCTGGTTTTCTGATCATTTCTTAATGCTGTGTTTGTTGTGGGTCTGCACATGTTTGTTTAGGTAGTACCAGTAATCCAAAGCATGGTTAGTGACATACTATTTACCATAATGACTGACATTTCTAATTAACATACCTTTAACACTGACCTACTTGGCAAAAGAGAGAAAATGCAAAAAGTAGGTAGGTGCCAGAATCAAGTTTCTTGAAAACAGGCTCATGGGAGTCTGCCCCTTCCTTTAGCTGTCTTTGCATCAATACTTAACTTGTGTGATAGTAACTTGAACGAGAATCTTGGATCAGATTCCAGAATTTAAGAGAGACATCAGCATGGCATATACAAGGTGTGTCCAAAAAGTAATGAGTATGAAGTTCCTACACAAGAAGGGCTCTGTGACCGGAGAAGCTGTTCAAGGCCACTTGGGGTGGGGTGCCAGGTATACATTACAACACTGATCAGTTGCATTCCAGCCTTGTCAGAGTCAAGACATTCTTTTTTGTGACATCCTGTTCAAGTGCCTCATGTTAAGAAAAATGCGAGCGAGTTTGGAACAGTGGTGTGCAGTAAAATTTTGTGTGAAATTGGGTAAAAGTGCATCAGAAACCTTGGAAATGGTGAGGAAAGCTTATGGGGAAGTTGTGCTATCATCTGCACAAGTGTACCAATGGCACAAGGCCTTCCAGGAAGGATGAGAAGGTGTTGAAGACGAACAATGATCAGGATGCCCCTTTTCACCGAAAAAGGAACAGAATGTGAGGTCTGTTCTCAACTGTGATCGATGGCTCACTATCAGAATGATTGCAGAGGAAATGGGAATTACCAAGTCAATTGCTCATGAAATTGTGACTCAGGATTTGAACATGAGAAAAGTGTGTGCAAAACTTGTTCCAAAGAAATTGTCACCTGATCAGAAGGAACACCGTCAACTTGTTTGCCTAGACCTGTTGGCCCATTTGGAAAGAAGGCCTGATTTTTTTGAGTCAAGTGATCACAGGAGATGAATCTTGGGTGTTTGAGTATGATCCTGAGATGAAGAAAAAGAGTTTGGAATGGCACACACCTCGTCCCAAGAAAGCTCGAATGAGCAAATCAAAAGTCAAATCAATGGTCTTTTTAATTCACATGGAATTGTCCATAAGGAATTTGTATCTACTGGTCAAGGTATGAATTAAATATTTTCCTGGAAGTTCTTGGTCACTTGAGACAAAGAATTTTTCATGTGCATCTTGAGGTTGGTTCAACTTGGATCCTTCATCATGGCAACGCACTAAGTCACAGTGCTTTGGCTGTCAGAGTTTTTGGCTGAAAAGCACGTAATGGTGCTTCCGCATCCACCCTACAGTCCCAGCTTGGCTCCTTGCAACTTTTTCATACTCCCAAAGATGAAGAATGGTTTGAAAGGACACCATTTTGGTAGTGCGGATAACGTCCAAAGAGCCACTATGCAGGCTCTGAATGCCATCCCACTTGAAGACTTCCAGGGGTGTTATGAAGAACAGAAAAATTGTGGAGAGATTGTGTACACATCCTTTGAAGGAGACAATGCTCAATTGTAAAAAAATTCAATAAAATGATTTTTAAAATATTCTCATTACTTTCTGCATGCACCTCATAAAGCTGTACCAACTGTCTTGTTGGTTAAGACCAAAACATGCTGAAATGCTCCTCCCTTCTGTTTCAGGTGTTGTCTGGTATGTCATCAAGGATGAGATCTCACAAAGTTGTGCTTCTTTTTGAATGTGCACAGCCAGGACTCAGTCATAGAATCAAACAGGGTCCAAGCAAGAGGGATGGGGGCATTTTATCTATGCCCTGATATCATTATTTAGCTCTAGACCTGGGTTTTTATTTGATCTGCATTTACCAGATATATGTTCTTTTCAGTTTGAATGTTTTGGTTATAACTTTATTATATCTGTATTTTATTACTAGCTACCTTGAGCAGTACCTTGCTAGTGAGAGGCAAGACAGAAATCTAACAGATAAGTGGTTATTTCCATACATTAACATAGGGTTCCAGCTCGTTAAGATTTGCTGAAACCAATTAAAAGTAGCATTGGAGTAAAATATATAATATTCTGCTGCACCAGACCATTTACTAGAAGAAAGAGCATTCAAGAACATTCTGGGACAGGGCTCCCCAACCTGGTGACCTCCCAATGTTTTGAATTACAGCTTCCACCATTTCTGGCTACCAGATTGTGATGGCTATCTGGTAGCCAGATGATGAGAACTGAAGTCCAAAACATTGGGTGAGTGTTTGGGGAAGGCTGCTCTAGGATGTGGGTTTCTAATTACACCATTGCTGCAGTTTGCACTTGTGTGAAAGCTTATTTTACAAGAAGGAACATGCCCCCTGTCTTGAACAGAACTACAGTGTGGCAAAGGGTTCAGATTCCCCATATCCATCCTGCTGGGGGCTTGAACAGGATTAGTCCTCCATGCCTGCCACTTACTAAGAAGAAAATCATTGCAAATATGTTTGAATGGTGTCCTGACCTGTGCCATTTAACTTGCCCCTGGGAAAGAGAGAGAAACCCTCTCAAGAACTACAAGTTCCAGATTCCCATGCTGTGGCAGCAGAAAGGTGGAATACACTCCACCCTAATCAGAGACACTGAGATACAAGGAATAGCAAGAGCCAGGGGTGCTGCCAGGGCAGGGCCAGTGCTAACATCTGGGGCATGCGGTTAGTTTCCCCATGACTTAAGGCTGCATTTGCGTGGGTGTGATGCATTAGGCTGAAAATATGGTAGCAAATATTTTAATGAAAACTGGAAGTAGTTTTGAAAGAAGCATCACTTCCCATGGTGTTCACATCTTTCAAGTATGTTATGCAGGTTCCTGAAACTATAGAAAAATGTGTAGCACCTGTTTATTAGAGGTGAAATTAGACTGCAGACTAAATTACATACTGTGTTGATGTGAAATGTATAGCTTGTTTGTTTAACGTTGTGTAAATGATTGGGGTGCCAGTCTGGATTGGAACCATTGCACATGTATAAGGGGGCTTAAACCTTCCCATCCACTTCTGTTCTCTGTTTACTCTGGCAAGTGCAGGCACTAAATAAACACACAAAGAAACACCCCTGCATTGATGCCAATAGACATTTCCCTCTGCCTTCTTTGTTTAGCCCCCGTGTGGAGATGAGATAAACATTGGGGCTTGGGAAGCAGAAACATGGGAAAATTCAACTCCACACAATATACTGGGGCTCTACGTGCTTATGCTAGGTGTCTGCTGGACATTTGAGTTAGTCCCGAGTGTCCACACCCCAGGAATTGAAGCCTACTTCAAACCACTTTCAGCGTTTTGAATAAACCTGTCACTTGCCTTAATAAAGTGTTGTCGTATATAAAGGACATTGCCATGGCGTGACTTGGGGCAGCCCTCTGCTGGTGAGTGCAGAGCTTCTCAGAGCTTCCCTAGCTTTTTCCCTTCGTCTGGGGGCACTTGTTTCCTGCCTAGCATTCTGCTCATTTCATGGTTGTAATGTGCAAGCTGATCTGATATTGTGATGGACGCTGCACGTCACTTTTTCAGGAAATAGAAGAAGACAGGAAGAGAGCAGAGCAAGAGGGAATGGCTGTCACCTCGAGGAGAGCCAGGCCGGAGGGTCTGACCATCACCATCACCAAGGCCCATCATGTAAGCCCTTTTGCCCTTCCTGCTAAGCAAGGGATTTTGAAGCGTTCCATTCCTGCAAGGTTGGAAACATTTTAAGTGGGAGAGATTGTTCAGTCTTTCTCAATCTGGCAGTCCCCAGGCATTTTGGAGTACAACTCCCATCATCATTGGCCATGAGGCTTGATAGGAGTCTGGAGGGGAAGGCTGGATTATGTTAGCAGATATATAAAGCAGCACACTTCAAGTCCTGCCAGCTCTCAGCATGATTTTAGAGTGCAGTCTGTGCAGCACTGTAAGTACCCGAAAGGCATGCAGATCTGCTCCAAAACATGCAAGCATAACGAAGGCCATGATGAAGTTAGCACAGGGCCATGCATCCAAGTGCAGCATACCTGTGTGCAATTGAATGTGGAAAGAAAGATACCCAGGAATTTTCCTATTGGAGCTCAAAAAGAAAGTAAAGAAGGCAAGAACACCTTAGGTCCAAACAGGGGGTTCTTCTGTTTAGATTATGGTTAATCTTCACAATGACTGGATTCAGACAGCACATCATAGATTTATGAGCTACCACTGTTGCTCTGAACCCCAAATTGTAAATAAATCCCCATACAGGGGATTGCCATGTCATACAAACCAGGTAGGTGAGTGTGAGTCATGCAATGGTAGAATAAGCTTTGTGAAACACAGATGTCCTGAGTTATGCAAGGATAATTTAATCCTCGCTTAATCTTTGCTTGCCATATGAGGAGTGCTTTGCAATGCACAGATACCGAGAGGAAATGTTATCTTGTGGCAGCACTTGCTCTGCAAAAGTTACCTTATGGCATGACTGCTATCTTGTTTCCAATAATGTGTCCTTGCATCTAATGCACAGTGTTGGTTGGTTTTATATTAATAGCATCAGCTGAGGGAAAGTGTGATAATTAATTGGATTAGAGAAGTAAGTGGGGGTGGGATTGCTAGTCACCTGCCTGGGCACAGCTTGTTTCATTGTCTGAATTCAGATAAACTACAGGGATTGGGCCCATGCCTTCCAAGTTTGTTGACTCGGGTTCTGATACATATGGGGAGGAGAGAAGAGGCTGGAATTCTCTGCTGAATTGCTCGGGCCAGCAGACCCAGCATTATTAGTCTGATCATATGGCTTCAAGTTAAAAGGGCAGAACAGTTAAAAAGCACCGGATATTCCAGACAGTTGGCTCTTAATCTGCAGGATCTACCTCAGAAGCAGAATCAGCTCTTTTTTCAGTTTGGAAGGGGAAAAAAGTATTCAGTTTAGAATCATCTTCATATAATTGAACTGCATTTCCCTAATGTCCAGTATTCTCACTTTGCTTGTTTCCTTTGTTAATGACGTCTGCATTATTCATCTTTTATATCACAAAGCTGGTTAGATTTACCCTAATTAAGGCTTAAGTTAGAAAACTTATTTATTTATTTATTTATTTATTAAAACATTTCTATGCCGTTTATTAAAACTTTGTCCTGATTTGCTTGGAGCAAGAGGAAGAAGACTGGTTAGCACATAACCCTAGATAGCACATGGGTTATTTGAGGGTTGTTGGTTCAGACACATGATAAGCTGTGTCCAAGCAAGTAGTTAGGGAAATAGTATCCAGCATGTGCCAGCATGCACAAGGGATTAAAACTAGCTAAGACTTATTTAAGATATGTTGCATTCTGTGACCTTGCCCAGTCTAAGGTTTTCTTCCTTTGCTTTGGTCATTAGGAAAATCCCTATTCTGCAGCTAATACTTGCATTAGAATAAATTACTGCCTGCTCCCATCAGCACCAATGAGAGAGTTCCCACAATGCAAATACTAGAGTCAGATGAGGGATTTTACTTGGGACTGAAACAGGCAGGGCTGGTCCTGGGCACTTAAATGATTTGGTATCCAGGCTTATATGAGAGAAGTCTGTATAAATTCTGTGTATGCCACTTTATAGATACAGTGGTACCTTGGCTCAATAACTTAATCCATTCCAGGACTCTGGTTGTGACCCAAATTGGTTGTGAGCCAAGTCAGATTTCCCCATAAGGTTCAATGTAAATAAAGTTAATTCATTCCGTAACTATTTTTTTTAATCACAAAAATCTGAAACAAAGTGACAAAGAACAACAAAGATTGCGGCCATCTCCCTCCCCAGCACAAGTGCAATCGTGATTGCGGCCATAGATAGGTGCGGTCATGGCCGCACTCGGGATGTGGGGAGATGGGTGCGATCGTGGGTGCGCTTGAGGGGAGACGGGTGCGATCACGAGCATCACCCGATGTGGAGTTTGTGACCTGAGGCAAAATTTTTCAGAAATTTCTGTTCGCGACTCGATTTGGTCGTAAACTGAGGCGTTCATGAGCCGAGGTGCCACTGTATAAAGGTAGAAACAACAGCAGCAGCAACAACAGCAGATTTATACCCTGCCTTTCTTCCTTTTGCAAGGAACATCAGCTGGCTTACAAGTTTTTCTTCCTTTCCATTTTATTCTCACAGCAACAACCATGTAAGGTATATGTCCATGTCTGGACCAATGAGTGTCATGACCAAGTGGGGACCAGAACCTGGATCTCCCAGTCTACCACTCTTAAGAGCATGCCCTGCTGGCTCTAAAGTTACTTAAATTCTGCAAGAGTCAATTCCTTATCCAAATCATCTTAAATAAAACAAATACTTTAGTTAATTTGCACCCTGCTGTGCAGGGGAAGATTTGGAGTGGGAATTGCAACCTGTGTGGAAAAGAAAATTAACTCTTTCTAGCTGTGATCTCTTTCATAAATTGGTCTCTGTGTGGCAATCAAACTGCAAAGAAGAAGAAACTTTCTGTGGGCATCAATGGACATTCAACACTCTGCGGAATAGCTCCAGGGCACTTTGAAATAGGTTTGGGGCTGGGAGAGCAGGGGAGGAAGGAATTAAAATTCTCAGCTAAAGCTTTTTGTCTGTTTTAAGGTTATATGTTAGATGCATAGTCAAATGGAATTTGGCTCTCAGATGTTGCTCCTAAGGGGAATAGAGCTTAAATTGCTTAGAATGTGAACCTATTTTTGTTTAAAAAGAGAGAAAGAGAGAGAGCAGATTACATAAGAATGACAGCAGCTCAGCATAACAAATAATGCCAAAGCATTATCTGCTTCTGTGGAAAACTCCACAGCATGGTGATTCCATCATGTATCCTAAATCTTTGACATTTCCATAAAATGTCAGATTCATAAGTGTGCACTGTGTTTTTTTTTCTTCCAGATTTACAGTTTGCAATTTGGACAAAAAGCCCAATTTGTTTCTTTGGAAAGAATTTCACAGTATCTGCATCAATGGCTCAAAAAAAAAAGTGTGTTGGTGTAGATTACTCCTTGGTATTTTCATAGTTTCTTTTCTTAATTGTTAAGACAAAAACACGTTCGTCATAAAGAAGCTTGCCAACCATCTTGCTTAGCCAGGCATTTCCCATTTTCAGGAGAAAAGAGTTGTGAGTGAGAAATGGGGAACCAGTTGCCCTTCAGCGTCAAATGTTGGGATTGGCAGTGAGGAGGAGGAAGATGAGGAGGAAGCTGATCATTTGTTTACATTCAGGATGGGGAAGAGGGTTCAGCTGGCAGTTACCATGGACAACAAAGCCAAGGTAAGTCCCTATAAAAGAAAAAGAGGGTGTGCATCCAGAGGGGGTATTCCAAGGAGAGGAGGCTGGGGAGACAGCTTTGTTTTCTTGGTCATAAACAAAGCCCTGTTGAGGCTTTCAAGAATTTTCCAAAACTATTGGATTCTGTATTAAGTTGAACAAACAAACTTACTAAAAAATATTTTCAGTTGCAAATACTTTCCTATTTCTGGGCACCACACGTTTGAGGAAGATATTGACAAATTAGTTCAGCCTTCCCCAACCTAATGTGTTGGCCTGCAGCTCCTCTCGCATTTAGCCATTACGATGGCTTAGAACAGGAGCGTCTTGGTGGTGTCCTCGCACTTTGTCACATGCCCTGCCTTGGAAGATGGGTCAAGAGCTAAATGGTCAAGGCGGTTTCCTTTCCTCTGACGATAATGATGCTCCACCTCCCGTCCCCACTTTATTTTTATTTATTTTTGCAAGGTTTTTCTGATTCTTGTTGCTGTTTTTCTGATATGCTTTTTGTTTTATTTAATATTATAATCAATACTATGTTGGATTCCTGTTGATGTTCCTTACGATGTTGAATTTCCCTGTATACAACTGGAACCTAAAGAAGCAAGTTGTTTAGTTGTTATTCTTCTTAATTTATTCTTCTTTACATCATCGTCATTATCAACATGAATGTTAAATATATATTAGTGTGCTTTAGTGACTTTCATGGATCATAGAGATACTTGAGTACACGTGCCTGGGAATGTACCAGTGGTGAATACTCTTTCAAAAGACACCCATTCCACATAGCATAGCTAAGTAGCTCCTTAATTTCATTCTCCAGTGTCCCAACCCAGCATGATCCACAGAACCACCCAGGGTTCTTCCTGTTAGGGCAGGTTCTAAACTTGGTTCTCCAATATCCTAGCTCAGTACAATCTGCAAGGCCACCCAGTGAGAATCATGTGCAATCAGATGTATTTACAATGCACACACCATTAAGTCAAGAATAATTAGCATTGCATTGCAGAGCAAAGTAGCATTAGATGCTAATCTCTGCAAGAATATTGTTCTATATAATTGGGGCAGGCAGAAAATAGATCTTGATCTACTGGCAGATCTCTAGCCAAGGATTGGCAAGGATTCTAAACTCCCAATTACTTAATAGTAAAAATGAAAGAACAGTTTTCACACTTTAAATTAGACAGCTGCAATAAACTGAAGCTCAATCCAGACAAGACGGAGGTCCTGCTGGCAGGTGGTTCGAACTCCTGGGTAGGTGACTTGGATCTTGTCCTGAATGTGGTTGCACTTCCTCTAAAGGACAGGGTCTGCAGCTTGGGAGTGCTCCTCGACCCGGAGCTGACTTTGGAAGCTCAGGTGTTGGCGGTGGCGAGGAGTGCTTTCTATCAGCTTCGGCTGATCCATCAGCTGCATCCCTACCTGGAGGACGACTGCCTAGCGACAGTGATGCATGCATTGGTTACTTCCCGGTTGGCTTTCTGTAACGCGCTCTACGTGGGGCTGCCCTTGAAGACAGTCTGGATACTTCAGATGGTGCAAAATAGAGCAGCCAGGTTGCTGACGAGGACTGGGCATTATTCTCATATAACCCCAGTCCTCTACCAGCTTCACTGGCTTCCCATCAAAGTCCAGGCTCAATTCAAGGTGTTGGTAATTACTTATAAAGCCCTTAATGGCTTGAGACCCAGATACTTGAAGGAACGCCTGTGGCCATATTCGCCCTCCCGCCCCTTGACATCGGCAGCAGGGGCTCTCCTCCGGGAGCCCTTCGTAAGAGATATTAGGAAGCAAAGTACCCAGAGGAGGGCCTTCTCTGCGGTGGCGCCCCATGTGTGGAATGCGCTCCCCAGAGAGGTCCACCTGGCGCTGCCGTCATTTGTTTTTCAGTGCCAGGCCACGACCTTTTTATTCAAATAGTATTTTAATAATCTTTAATATTTATAGTTTTAATTATGCAGCCAGTGTGTTTCCAAGTTTTAATTGTAAATTGTAATTGTAAATGTTATTCTATTTGTTTTATTTATTTATGTTGTGAGCCATCCTGAGGCTGTGTAGCAATGGGGACGGCATATAAAAACTTTAAATAGATAGATAGATAGATAGCCTGGAAGAAAACTGATTTGTCTGAAAGGGTTAGGAGACCATCTTGTAGCCTCCTGACTTTGTCTTGGGGGCCACAGGACTACAGTATTTAGAGTCCCAGTTCTGAGGACCTGCAACCTCAGGACCTGCAAGACTCTGAAGGCTGAGCCCTGACCATGCTCAGCTCATAGCCAGCATAGAAAGCAACACATTGGCTGCCTCTCCTAGCTCACAGCTGGGTCTTGGAGAAGACAAAACGGTGTGCCAGGGAGGAGAAGAGGCTGTAGCCATTAGTGCCCAGCCGCCTTCATTCCCCTTCCCCAGCACTAAATCTACTTTGCCAAAAACAGCCATCTAGAATAAATACAAGGAGTAAGGCACGACAATGATGGAGAACGGCAGCAGGGAAGAATACCTCTCCCTAGCTATCAGATGCATGTAAGCCTCCAAGTGCAGTGGATTGCACAGTTCATTCTGGTCTCCCTCCCCACACATTGCATGATGGGTATTTTATTGCTGGACCTCCATAGCCATCTTTGGGCTTTATTTTGTGCCAAGTGGATAGAGGATAGTTCTATTGAAAAAAATAGATGCCACAGGCCTAAGTTCTGCCTATCCCTGCTATGCCATATGCAGCCTTTAGCCAAATATAGATGAATGTCACAGATATGAAATTCCAGTAGCCACAAAAAAGTTACACTCGCATATAGACTTTCAAGTTATCTGTTCTATATCAGGTTTGCAAATTGATTTACACCACTTCTGAATACTGTAGGCATCTTTGGGGATAACTCAATGGAGACATCCACTCTGTTCAAATCAGCAGTCAAAACAGCACACCATATTATGCTGTGTTGATACACGAACAAAGAATTTGGAACTCCAGAATGCTCTCAAATCAAGCCATAGCAGATCCATAACTTGTGCAACATGTTGGGATTAGACTTCCCAACGCCTGGATCAACCCATCAAAGACAAGGAAGAGCTCAAGGAGGCTGACACAGCATTATGAAGGGCTGCAACAAAATTCCTTTTGTACTCTAACCATTGAAAAGGGAAATGTACCTGCTGTGCTAACACAGGTTCAAGATGTGAGAAGCGATTTGACTTTTCATGTTGGATTATAGTATTTCTTTCAAATGACCCAATCCAGTTATTAGTAAGAAAATGCTTTCCAATCCCCTTTCTTACTCAATTTCATGTGAGCCTGTGGAAGAAATCTTTAGCACCAGAGTGCCAGTGAACAGGGATTCTCATCTCTGAAATCAGATGTGCATGTTCACCTAAGGCTGGGATCATGTGCATACTCCTTGAACTAGGTGCGGCATGCACGTGGTTGTGTTGCACAGCTGCATTCAAACCTGCAGGCCCTTTTGCTCAAAATTTATACTCCTATGAAAAGGATACTTGGCATGGATGATCCACCAACCCTAGCTCCAAACTCAGGAACACGTCTGGGCTAAATGGAGTTGCGCTGCATGTTGGTTGTGTTTCTATATGCAGAAATAAAGTACAGTAGAAAAAAAGTCAAAGAGCTTGAAAATGAATTTTGTGTGTGTTTCCCCTGATTTCATGCTGTGTTAGCTGGAGAGAAAAAACTTTACCCTTTCCTTTTTGGGATCCTGGCAGACACAAAGTTTGGCTGGCTGACAAGGCCAGACCAAATTTGTGGGCTATTGTGCTTGGCTTAAGTTGAGCCTCTGGAAGAACTTTAGCTATAATATTTAGTTGCAAAGAAGATTGAACTAAAACTGGCTTGGTTTTCTGGTGTGCTTGCAGATTCAACAGGTCCTAGGTGATCAGTGTGCTGCCATCAGTATCTGGCAAAACCTTCAGTTACATGAAATAAAATCAATATCATTTCTTTGTGTTTTGCTTACTCATGTCTGCTTCAGCCAGAAAAACAGTTTCAATGAAAAGAATCTTTCTGGCTTGAAATTAATTAGCCCTGATGAGAATTAGCTGATCTTGGAGGCTTGCAGTGACAAAACTTGTGACAAAATTTCATTTCATACTGATTATTTAATACAGGATGTGCAACCTGTAGCTCTAGGGCTGTGTATGGCCCTCGGCCTAATTTCAAAAGCCATCTGAAAGTGGATCAATTTAGCTATCTGGCAAGAGTGATCTGTCTTTTTATAGGTAGTCTGTCAGGCAGGTAGGAAAAGGAAGAAAAGTGGCCCTGCCCACTATTGATCTGCAGCCCCAACAGATTATAACTGAGGCAATATGGTATTGCAAAATTTGAATGCCATAACAGAACCACCTATATGTTGGAGATGTTCAATATATACAGATTTTTTTCAAGGAAACTAAATTGTTTGCATCTTTATTTGCTTATTGATGCATAATTTAGTTGTTCCAACTATAACATGATAACTGTTGATCTGAACCTTGCCAAATGGAATTTGTTATCTGTTAGTGCTTTTTATTTTGCCTCGTGTGTGCCTAAATGTGCAGATTTAAACACAGATTATGAAGGATGGGAAACTGCGCACACCTTTGGGTGTTGTTAGGAACATGTAACTCTCTCTGCCCTTTCTAGGGAAAACGTCTTGTCAGTGAAAAACGGGCATCGGATTGTCTTGTGAACCCTGCGGGGGCCCCTGAAATTAGTGAAGAAGAGATGGATCAGTTGGTTGCTTTCCGCAGGGGAAGAAGAATGCAGATTGCCATTACCATGGACAACAAGGACCGGGTGAGTGTTTTCCAGAAGGGATCCTGAGGGACCCAGTTCTGTGCTTGGACTCAGAGGTTAATACATCTTGGCAGTGCCACCAGCTCCTGACCCAGAGACGGACCCTGTTGCCTTAGAGCTTCTGTGAAACAAAGCATGATTTGGAAAACTGTCTTCTGCTCCAGTGGCTGCTTCTCCCATGTGTTCTAGGGCAGGACTGAAGTCTTGCTTACTACAGGAGGAAGAGAAAGAAAGGAGCATATGGACTCTTGCCAGGACATTTGGTTCTCATTTTGCCCAATACAGGCAGTTGGTTCAAAGCAGGAATGTGGAAACTCTACTTCTTGGGCCACATTCAGCCTGTGCAGGGCGGCCTCATTCTTCTTTTACAGAGGACAAGCCTCTCTTTGAAGGCATTCTCTATGTGAAGGGCTATCCAGTCCAATTTTGGTTTAAAGATAATTGTAAGAACTGTGACACTTCTGTCTCTCTGGGAACACTACACTTACTTTTTGTGGAAGACTGCTGTTTCTGGAGTGTGCATTGTTAAGTTGTCCTTTTGGGGGCCAACATTTTCAAGTAGAATTTGGAGGTTCAGACAGACAGTGACTGAGTGACGTTCTGTTGATGGAGAAGAGGATTAATGGGGAAATGGCATGATCTGTACTTCCAATTCAGTCAACAGCAGGCTATAGCTCAGGGGCTGGGCCTGCTCTCAGACTCACTCTTAGTGAGGAGAGGAAAGAAAGCCTGTTGATATGGTGAGTGGGGGCAGGCGGGGGTTTGTGCCCCCAGATGGGCAAGGCTGTTTCTCAGGCAAGATGGATGACTGGCCTGCAGAGAACACATGGACACATTGAAACAGAGAGTATAAATCATGCTGGGAGATACAGTGAACTCCAGGCTATTACTCATTGACTGCATTTTCCCAGAAACAGTGTGCCATTGTCTTCCAGCCTACGGCCTGTAATGCCTCCCAGCATGAAATACATGCACATTTGGGCCTTGAGTTTTAAAGGGGTTTGGCAGCACATTTGGCCAAACTGTCTTTTGTGTACAGCCCTGTGAGAAACAGGGTGGTGCAGACTTTGGCATAAGGTTGACATTATGGTAGAGCAACACTGAGATGGCAAAGCCTGAAGTGGGAAGGCAAAGCCAGACTGAAGACTTTCTTTCTGAGATCCCAAATGGCCTCCTGCTAGGATGGCCACTTTGTGCCTTGCCAACAAAAAAAAAAAAAGGAAATTCATCACACACAAAAAACAGGACTCAGGAAAACACTGATTTGCATAACATTGGCACATGCTAATTTATGTGCATTTAGGTGCAAATGAAGAAACCATCATTACAATTTCAACAGAAATACAGGATGTCTCACCCTAGTGGGTAAGACTGTGACTAGGTAAGTGGCTCAGTGAGGCAAGACTCAAATTAGTTCGCACTTCTCAGACCTACCTATGAATTCTACAAGTCTGGCTTTCCCTGAATCTTGTTGATTTTACAGACTTGCAAACATTTTTATATATATATATATATATATATATATATATATATATATAT